TCTAAGTAAGTCTAGCATAAAATAGGTTATTCTTTCACTTCAATATCATTTGTTTTTGTATTGTAGACCTTTCAATTAGGCTCAAGATGGTCTTTTATAAGATCGAAACATGTCCCTCATGATTTATTAATAACATCATTAAAAATTGTGGAGATGTCTTCGAGCATTCCTTCCTTCCTGTGAAATATTTCACTCCACTTTGAGCAATATGGACTTCTACCAAAGATCATCATCATATATTGATACGTTTCAAGCTCCAAGAACGAAATTTCTCACAATTATTGATACTTTCTCAAAATATGCGCAGGCATATCCACTCACAGGGCTGTGCGGTATACAATTAGTTAAAGCTTCACTTGTATTCATGACTCATCATGGACTTCCCACTCTAGTGGTCATGAATAATGTGACGGAACTGAAAAACTCAATTGTACAAGGATTTTGTCATAAAATAAACTCACATCATATCACAGTCAATAATCCCCAATCTAATGAAGAAATCGAAAGATTCCACTCTACAATCATTGAGCATTTGAGAATAATAAAAAGTAAAAATAACGATAAAATTGACATACTGAATCATATGCCTTATGCAATTCTAGGATACAATAACTCATGCTATTCTGTAACAAAACAAAACCCGATCAATATAATTAACGGCCATTCAGATACCAAAGACCCCTTTGACATTAATATGAACGAGAACTCATTGAATAACTATATTCAGGAACATCGGGATACCACACAAATCATTTACAAAAAACTAAATGAGCAACTGACTGAACAAAAGCAGCGACATGGACGTTTATCGAAAATTAACATCAAACAACAGAAATAAATTGACTTTAAGATTTTCCAAGGACGAGGCTGTTCGAAATAAAGATATTAAGGTAATCACTACCAGTAAAACACTCCACGAACAAAATTTAAGGAGACCTCTGGCTAATAAGCCCAAACTTTTGCAGGTATCACCTCATGGTGCCGGCAATGTTCCAGGAAGTTCGAATAATCAATCTGAACAAAAATCCGGGGATCCTCCCATCCAAGCAGGGCCTAGCCAAATTTGAATATAGAACCCATACCTTCATCCACTATTTTGACCTCATCCCTATGAAACGTATTTTTTTATAAAGAAGTAAAAATGCTGTTCCCCATGCTTACGGCAGCTTTACATCGGCGGTATATGGGTTGTGAGTTGTTTGCTAGCTAATTAAAGACATTATGTTGTAATAATGAGGTAGGAATTATCTAATTTGAAGTTGACAAAAAAAATATATCACATATTATTATTCAGAACTCAAGTTTGGACGCCACTGATTCTTTCAAGCTAGGTGTTTGCTTTGGAGAAAAATCAGAAACCTGAAAAGTTGAGAGAAGCCATATCAGTGTAATAAAAGAAAATGCTTTCACCTAGGAATTTTAATTATAATATTTGACCAAACATATAAAAAGTACCCATATTCTTATATGATATACAGTATGTACACATCAGCTATTTACAATCAAATTTCACTGGTTGAGTTGGTATGAAACAGTTGACATAATTGAAATATTTTTGGTTTGAAAATCCCCAAAAGCCCACTTCAGTAATGGTATTATTCATATAGATATGTTGTAAATATGTTGCAATAAAAGGATACCATGGGGAAAATTCATTAATTTCTTTGGGAATATATATGTGTTAAATTTGATCAATTTTGGCTGGTCATTAAGGCTTGAACAACATCTAGATATTTCTTCAACTATTTCAATTATTTCAGGTTTTCAAAGATAGTTAAATCCAATACAAGAAAGAAAAATAAAATAAATCAAATGATTTTAAACTCCTGTCATCCAACGAACATCCAATAGTCCATGAAATGATGTGAGTAGGTAGTCAAATGAAACTTCTAGTGGTGCGTAGCAAGGTGGTGGAGCATTGCGGTCTAGTGGCAAACAACCACACTGGTACCAGGACGAGGCCCCAGCTTATTCAAGACTGAATGATAGCAATCAGCAGCCTGATGGTGACATGACCAGAATATCCGGGAGAGATCAGCATCCATGACTCCATGGAGATCATCGCCGGCAAGGCAATCATATTTCACTTCATTTACTCCAGAAAACACCATAATGTCAAAAAAAACCTATAATGAATTAGGAACAAATGTTCACATATAATTCATATTTAAAGTGACGAAACTCACCTCTGATGATCAGAGGGTTATTTATAAAAAATCCCATAACTTTGGCCACATGGTTGCAGACCAGGTTAGCAACCATCAGCATAGACATCAGGTTATATGGCACCAGGTCAGGCATCAGGTCAGGAATCGAACGGGGCAGCATCCAAAATAATGTGCACTTACGCCATAATTTTTCCCATCAGGAACCGATAGTCTTCATTAAAATTTAGTTGATTACACCATTAAAAAAAATTATCTAAAGGCACTCAAATTCACATGTCTGCTTCCTCGACGTGCAAAATGGAGAAGAACCTCAGGCTGCTTTCACATGCATCCGTTTTCACGGATCTACGTTTGCGTGATTTACGTACACAAGTTAGGGTCCCTTCCGAATGGAATGGTTCCGTGAGCCCCGTTCTCCCTATTTGGCGCAAATATTTAAACATTCAAAAATGAATTAGAAAATACCAGGGGGCTCAAAATTGAAATAATCATGAACTCTTCAACGTTATTGAGTTTCACATGTGTTTTGACTAGATCTCTAAAAAATAAAACAATATGGGAGCAGAAAATTATAAAGAGAAAAGTCAGAAATTTGTATATATTCTATTTATTATGGACAGATTCAGAATGTCAAAAGAAAAATCGTAAATTTTGGACCAGACCTATATTCACAGAAAATTCCCGAAGACTTTATGGCGCAAGCGAAAATTTGGCTAGAGAAATGGAGGAAAACGACAATGAAAAGTTTTTCAATTACTTTAGAATGTTGCCTGATATGTTTCATCTATTGTTGGGCCTCTTGGAGACTAAACTCGTAAAACAACATGTAGTTTGAACTCCAATACCACCAAGAACCAGATTAGAAATTACACTTAGATATTTGGCATCTGGAGACAGTATGACTTCAATGTCATATCTTTTTCGCGTTGGGATTTCTACAGTTTCAGAAATTATTTCTGAAACAGGCACCGAAATCTGGAATTGTTTGAAATATCGAGAGTTACTACATAATCCAACAGACACAGTATGGAATGAAATAGCCAGTGGATTTGACAAAAGCTGGAATTTTCCACATTGCATAGGTGCTATTGATGGCAAACATGTCATAATAGAAGTATATGTTTTGAATTACTTCTTGTTCTTCTTTGTGCATTAAGATTTTTTTCTATGCTCCACCAAAATGTGGTTCTGTGTATTACAACTATAAGAATAGTCACAGCCTGGTCTTACTTGCAATTGCTGATTCTAATCTGAGATTCATCATGGTTGATATTGGAGCACCTGGTAGAAAAAGTGATGGTGGGGTTTTTCGTCAAAGCATTATTGGTCAAGGTTTTCAAAATAACAGTCTTCATGTACCAGATCCATCACCAATATCAAACCATGATCTAGATATGATTTTGCCATATGTCCTTATTGGTGATGAAGCATTTGCTTTGACCAATTACTTGATGAGACCATTTCCTCGTAATGGTCAGTTGGACTTGAGAAAAAAAATTTTCAATTATAGACTGAGCAGAGCCAGGAGGGTTATTGAAAGTGCATTTGGTATTCTTCGTGGAAGATGGAGAATATATGCCAAACCTATCAATACCTCTTTATCTACAAGCATAAAGATTATACAAGCTACAGTCTGTTTGCACAATTTTATTATGAAACAAGAATCAACAATGGCTACTACAGATCAAAGATACTCTAGACAGAATTTTTGTGAAGAGTCTTATGGTATTGTTGATTTCAGAAGAACAGGCAGTAACACATATAGTAGGGATGCTGCAAGTATGAGGGAAACATTTACAACATATTTTGAAACTAATGGTGCAGTTTCTTGGCAGTGGGAGAAAGCAATTAGAAATGAATTTTAGGAACAATAAGTATTAATTCAATAAAAATTATTTCTTCAACATGTATCTTTTTTAAACAACTGCCAATACTTTTGATCTACCAGTTTTGAAAAATATTTTCAATTTAATGAATGATTTTATGGAATATATATCAATAAGTTTTAGATATCATGATATACATATATCAAGTTAAAAATATATTATATATACTTGAAACTATGAAAATGATATATATCATGATATATATCACTTAATATAAATCTTTGGAGCCCTGACAAAAATAACATTATTCTTGAGATTCCTCTTCATCCAAAATTTGCAAAAATTTTATCTGTAGTTTTTTTCTACTCTTATAGGGAAGTAGATGAAGACCTTCTGCCAACATAAGTGAAAATCCTTCAACTGCATCAGGCTGTTGATTTGGCTCTTGCAATGGTTGTAATAGAGCTTGTTGTAACTCAGTTTGCTGCATATGGCGGTTCACTGTAGAATGTTGAAATTAATGAGTATTGGTAGGCATTTAATAATGTTATGTATTACTTTTTTTGCTGCATGATGCATCAGAAGAATCAGACTTGCTGATATAACTATTAGTTATACTAGATATTGGGGATAAAATATCGGAATCCACATTTGATTCTGTCCTGGAGATTGAAATGTATGTTAAACAAATAGTAACTGAGAGCAATTTGTTTTCAAGTACCTACCTTGTTTGATTATCAACATCTTCTAAAAATAACATCATTTCATAGTATTTGAATGAAGGTCTGGGAGGTTTAGCTTCAGCACTTGATCCTGTTGGTACATACACCTTCTGTTTTTTTTGCCCTGGTGAAGTCATCTCTCAATTGCCTCCACCTTTTTTTAATAAACTCTATAGAGAATTTTCCTAAAAATATAGTTTTAAATATACATTTCTCATATCTAATATGTTCACTTTTCTAACCATCCCAAGTATTGTGAATTTCTTTCCATAAATCTTTTACTTTTAAGTTTTGGCGTTCTGATAGTGGTAGCCTGTGGTCCCAAAGTGGGGGTCTAGCAAACACTTCACTAATGGGAATTTCCTCCCATACTGTTGAATTACTTGATGAAGATTGAGATTGATTGGCATCAATGCCATCATTAGTGATATCCTCAACTGTTCCATTTTCACTATTCTCATTCTGAGCAGAGGTCCCAGCATCATCTTCATCTAAAATTTTGAGTTCATATAATATTGGAATGTACCTATATTCTTTCCAGACACTATACCAGCAGTAACACTATAAAGTTAATAAATGTCTGCTATACTCACATACTACAGTCAGAATATTGTTCTCATCGGACATTAATGAGATGTCCCAGGAAATGCTATGGAGTTGACTTTATTTACAAAACATTCATGGTCTACATAATTCTCTTCAAGGGTATAGAAAATCTTACGACAATAGCCACATTTAAAAACGCAATCATCCATAACCAAGAGTTCCTTTTAGGCTATTATTTAAGGGTCAGGGCCTTTTTAGGCATTTAAAACACGCATCCGTAGGTAAACTACAAACACATCCCACAAAGTTTATGGATTGTCGACGGTTTAGGAAAAACTCGGAAAAATGAAAATATTTACCTAACCTTGCTTTCTTGTCATCACGGACAAATTAAACGGAGGAAACTTATTAAAGTTGAGCCAACTGGGTACGTTGCGATTGCCGACTTATCCGTGTCGATTTCTATTGGTCAATACTCATCACATGATCCAACGGATCCGTGAAAACGGATGCGGCAGGAAGCAGCCTCATAGCACACTTTTCTTCAGAACCCGTAAAATTTTTGTCACGAAACCTCAGAACAATAAATCATCAATCAATGAGTCGCTCCAGCAAGTATCGTGCTGCGGACTTGACGGCGTTCTTTCGATGACGTAGTTGCTCGTGGAGTATAGCCAGATAATGTCACTGATGAAGTTCATAAACATCATCTTCATCAGCATGCAGATAAAAATCAGAAGATGAAGAATTGCAATATACGAGACCCAGAAGACGAAGAAAAGAATCTGACGTTTAATCCTAACCACACTTTTTCCTGAAGATAAACATCAAATAACTTGTCAAATTAAAAATTATTATGGTAGAAGGACATGTACCCAACACCAGAAGGACGGACATTATGTACATGGAAGGTAAGCTCACGTTATTCCCAAGAAAATTATCTTGTCCAGTATCATATGTAGTAATTGTTCAGCAGAAATCCAACACTGTCCCTTCATACCTTTCAGAATCAAAACTGAACACCAGTTGATTTCATTCAAATGCAGATGAACATAATCCTAAGGAATCGAAGTTTATGCAGTACACTGGGAGCTATTATTTGAACAGGTAAGTTCATTTCATCATACAATAGTTGTTGAGTGATGTTCTCGTGTAACATCCATTACTGTTGGAATTAGTTCAAATAAGTTGTTTCTTTCGTTTTAGTTCTTACTGAATCACAGTTCCAGATGGATCATGGAGGAGACTCAACCTGGAGAGACAAATGAACATACAAGGTGGTATAGTACATGATAATATTCAATTATGAATTGTCAAGGTGAGATTTGGAATAAAATTGCTCAAATCATTTAGTGTTTGACTAATGATATCACAAACAAGTAACGTTTAAGTGGAGTTTACATTAGTAGGAAAATAAAAACGTTACACCTATTCAAACAGAATTATTATCTCAGATTCAGTATGAAAATATCACAAAATCTAATCTAAGCGCCCTCAGTCATCCATATTTCCATGAACTGCAAAATTTTAATAAAGCATTACTATTCCAATTAAAATCAGCTGAGCAAAAATTCAACTCGATAACTCCTAATAGCAGAATAAGACGTGGTCTCATTGACGGTCTAGGAACTATTATAAAAGGAATCTCTGGTAATTTGGATGCCAATGATGCAATCTATTATAAACAAGCAATTCATGATTTCGAAAATAATCAAAATGGAATCGTTCAAAAATTAAACAAAGACATATCTCTTACCAGCAGCATTATTGACAATCATACTAAAACAATGACATTAATCAAACACAATCAAGAAGTCATCACTTCAGGATTGAATCAAATTAATGATCGATTAAACAAATTTATGTATGATTTCAATGACTATCTGGGAACCCGAAATATTTTAGATCAGATGAAAATATCACTCAACATAATAATTCAACTTTTGAATGATATTGACAACGCGGTCACTTTTGCTGAACTGAAAGTTCCTCATAGTAGTATTTTGAAAATTGACGAACTCCAATCTATTGTGAAATCTATTCTGGAATATTATTCTCCAGATCAATTGATTTTTCCTGATATAACCAATGACATTCACAAATATTATATTATAGAAATCGAGGCATTTTATTCTAATAAAAAGATTGTTTTCGTTCTACATTTCTCGATGATACATCCAGACACATTTTATTACTATCACCCGTGTTCCATTCCAACCCAAAATTCAACAACAATCATCCCTCCAAATACCCATCTGATCATGAATGAAAATTTCTACCAATACACATCATCACCCTGCATGGCCTTGCACCCTGACTACTACTGTCGCGAAAAAAAGCTAATGAATGGCATCAAAGAAAAAGACTGTGTATTCCAACTGTTGCAAATGGAATCCTCCTACAGTTACTGTCATCAGATACAAGTACGCACAACGAGGAATATGGTTCAACAAATTGATGACTCCCTCTACATCGCAGCGAGTATTCCCGAACGAAACGAAAATCCAGACGATCTATGAGAGCACCGAATTCACTACCCTGCACGGGAATTACCTGATCAACTTTCCCCTGGAATGCCGCTTCGTGACTGATGGTGATCAGTTCATCAACCGTAAAGACGTATCCATCGTCCCGCATGGTCCATCTGAGACGTCCAAAACCGAAATCGTCATCGACAACGTAGGTCTTGACGAAATCCACAACCTTCAGAGCGAGCAGAAGAAGCTTTTTTTTATCGCTTGGAGCACACGAAAGGGAATCCCTATAATGTTCAAAGAACATCGTGCGTTCCTAGGGAGAATAATGATAGGAGGTAGGTATTGGATTTTTTTTTGAACTTCTGGAGATTATATGTTGTTGGGAATACTTCCTCAGGCAATGAATTCCAGAGGCTAACCGTTCTATGGATGAAGGAGTTTTGATAAAGTGCTGTTCGGCATCTTTCGAGGTTGACAACGAAAGGATGTGCTGACTGGGCTTGTCTAGTTCGTCTGACTGGTATTGCTAGTGAAGAGATGATAGCAGAGATTTCCGAAGCACATTTCCCGTGGAAGTATCGATAGAAGACTGAAAGGTCGCCGACCTTTCTACGGTGTTCCTATGATGTCAAAGAGTGAGTGAGTGTGGCGTCACCCACCAGGCGGATGGCTCTTCTCTGGATGGAATCTAACAACATCAACGTATGTTTTGGTGCTGAACCCCATATGTGGGAACAGTATTGCAGAACAGGCCGTATCTGCGCCTTGTAGATCATGAGAAGCTGTTGAGGTGTAAAGTGGCTTTTCGCACGGAACAAGAATCCGAGTTTTTGTGAAGCAGCTTTTGCGATGGATCTGACATGATTATCCCATGAAAGAATGTTGCTGATGGAAATACCCAGCATAGATATGGTAGGCTTGGTGGAGATGGTGGTGCCAGACATTACAATGTCGGGAATTCCGCCTTTCTAGAGAAAATACAGGTTTGAGTTTTGGTGGCCGTTGAATTCAACTAGGTTGTTGGTTCCCCCAGGCTGTGATTTCAGCAAGGTCTCCATTGACAGCATTGACCTGCCTGCGCCGTGAGTTCTTAGTTTCCTGGAATGAAATGGAAATTCTGAAAGAGAACGCAGTGTGGAGAATACTATCATCTGCAAAGCTGTGGATGGGGCAAGTTGTTACTCCCAACAGATCATTGATATGAAGAAGGACTAATGTTGGTGCCAAAATTGATCCTTGTGGAACGCCGGAATTGATGCCAATGGTATCAAACGATACACCGTCCACCACCACATGAAGCGATCTGCCTGAAAGAAAACTCGATAAGAGATGGCATAGCTGAGGTGGTAAGCCGTATGATGGTAGTTTGTGGAGGAGTCCTTCGTGCCAAACACGGTCAAATGCTTTCGATATGTCCAACGCGACAGCTAGAGATTCCCCGTGTTTTTCTAATGAAGTTTGCCATATATGGGTGACGTAGGCAAGTAGATATCCTGTAGATCTTCGGTGGCGAGAGCCGTATTGTCTATCATTGATGATTCCTGAGCTCTCCAGATATTTGATAAGCTCAATGTTGATGGCTGTCTCCATCACTTTGGAGATTACTGATAACAGGGCAATGGGCCTGTAGTTGTTGGGCAGGTTCTTGTTCCCTTTTTTGGGGATTGGTGGGACTCCAGCTGTCTTTCAGCATGATGGAAAAATACCCGACCTGTACGAAATGGTAAACAACTTGCAGAGAATCGGTGTTTTTTTATCGCTTGGAGCGCACGAAACGGAATCCCTATAATGTTCACAGAACATCGTGCGTTCCTAGGAAGGATAGGGACAGGAGGTAGGTATTGGATTTTTTTTAAAACTCCTGGAGATTATATGTTTTTGGGAATACTTCCACAGGCAATGAATTCCAGAGCCTAGCCGTTCTATGGATGAAGGAGTCTTGATAAAGTGCACATTTATTGAGGATATTGGGTGGAATTCCATCAGGACCGTTAGCCTTATTCGTTTAGAGACCAAGCAAAATTCGTCTGATAGTGCGTTGACGGAAGACGATTTCGGGCATTCGAATCTCAACCGGTGGAATGTCTGTGTTCCTATTGGGAATCTAAAGTGGAGTTTGCTGCGAACTTGTCTGCAAAAATATTTGCTTCCTCTTGCGATGTGTGCTAATGTGCCGTCGGTTTTGTACAGTGGTGGAAATAAACAATTAGTGAAATTTCTTCCGACCGCTTTAGCAAGGGACCAAAACGAACGGGAGCCATTGGGACAATCTATGAGTTTCGATCTCATCTTGGCATTGTATTATTCTTTCGAAGCATCTATTGTTTGGCTGCAGTTTTTCCAGGCATCAACGTATTCTGCTCTAGTCGCGAGGTTATGGTTTTCGCGCCAGCGATGGTAGGCTGTTTGTTTCAAGGCAACAGTTCTAGAACAGTTTCTGTTGAACCAAGGTTTCGATGGTGGTGATC